TCAAAAAACTGATAAAAATTTTTTACATTTTCCACTTGATAAACTTTGTACAATATATATACGCACACATTTACCGTAATGCAGTGCTCCTAAATTATAAATGTTCGGTATGTGAAACAGTCTAACAACAACAATGACTCTATAGGGTGGGGTAGCTGTTCTCGTAACATTTTAATATGAAACAATATAAATACACAAAAGTTTTTTTCCTGACTTAGTATGATGGGCTTCGGTGGTTTTGTGTTGTGTAGATGACATTAACTTGTTTATAGTAGGAAAATAATATTCGATTTTATCAACTGAGTGATAAAAATCCACAAATAAACATACTAATTACTGAAGTAAACATCCGGACCCTTTCAATTTAAATATTGTATCTAGATGTTGTACAGGGAGCACCTCTTTCACCCTTCACATTTAACATATGTGTTAATAACATAACACTACTATAACTCTCATATCACCGAGGAGTACTATGAATATATATAAAGTCAAGCATTTCAAATAGAATCTATGAGTCTGATTACAAGATTAGTACATTGATGAGAGTAAGAATACATATGAGCCATTGAAGATGAAACCAAGCTGTTTTGGTTTAAGCAACGGTAACACTCGTGGCGTTTTTTGGGGTTGTAAAACCAGAAACTATAGGTATTCTAGAATAATTGCTTTTTGGACATTCCGCAACATATTTTCGACCCTACCAAGCATATTTTCATGATCTAGTCTGGATATCAACATTTAAAATGTCAACTGTCTTCAAGTATCAATTGACATTTGAGTCAGATTGAATCTGGTGACACTGATATAATGTGAAGAGATTGTTGTTATGTTTCTTAATGAGTAACTGACATTAATTTTGCTAATTTCAACTTTGAATTGAGTCAAGATAATACTACATCTGAGTGCTTTCATTTTCACTGACATTGGCTATTATACCGTTTCCATGCTTGCAGAGATGAACAGGGGTCCTCACATGTGGATAGCTGATTTTTGTTTCGGGAACGGGATGTGGGCATAAAAAATGCACAGGATCAGCAAAACAAAAACGCGCAATCTTAATATAAGTAGAAGTTACAACTGAGATGCTCGCGTGGGCTTGTGATTCACCAGCTACTTGGTATAATTGTCCTTCCGTTGTAACGTCAGTATTTGCGATATTAGCATCCGCTGGAAGCGAACATTAACTTGACATCTACCTATCTAAAGTCAATATTATGATAATTGTTTGTCCACTTCCAGTGGTCATTTCTGATCTACCCCGAGGCGTAGATAACAGTAAAGGTGTTGAAGGTGAGATGACACACGAGAAATGTACACTTAACTTGATGAAGAGGAACACACTGCCCCGAGCTATAATCTCTTTACTAAACAAGTTCTGTCCTTTTATCAACAGATAAACTTTACCATCAACATCCAAATGATGACAATGATCTTATTGTAGTTAAGGGGCATAAAGTGCCAGTTTTATGTGAAGAGGAAGGCGTGCTTGTGTTTGCATTGTTGAACGTTGAATGAATTCAACAGTTTTTATGGATCAAACCAACAATCTAACGATCTACTGTGAACGTTGTGCTAGAGCTCTGCAACGGCTTCAGCCTTACGGAAGATGTTGAAGATTGTCGCCCAACAACATATGTTAAGGATAATCCACAACAAAGCTTCGCGTCAAAATACTCACTGAGTGAAGGCTTTTCAAACACTTTGGAGTGGGAAAACGATTTGATGTTATTTTATCATAAATTGTCGTAAATTCGACTTCTTGATAACTTCATTACTGTTAGCTGTTATCAAAGTAACATTTATATTGCTTTCTGACATTTGAAATAAAGAGTATGGATTAAGAACATGGATTGCCTACATATTAACTGTTTTATAGAGGATTAAGGGATTTCGCACAGATTAAAATTTGTATGATATCTCGACACGAGATAAACTCAAATTGAAATTAAATATGGTTTGATTGAGACAGGACCTCCTACCAAGCTTTTTTATTCGCATTACTTTCTTACTGATTTCTCCAGATTGATAAATTATCTCATAAATAAATATTCGACTACACTTGAACAAGAGAAAATAGAACAGAAGTCAATAGTGATAGTTTTAACCACTAAGGCATAATCACATGCTAAACCTTGATTTGTTCTATTGTGAAAGAAATATAAATTCAGCATTACAATTGGTGTGTTCGGGCTCCCAGTCTTTGCAAATTGATCCTATATGAGTTGGCTTCCAGGTCCATTTTCGATATTTTAAACTTGCTGATACAGCTTATTATCAATCAAACTATACTTTTAAGTCCTTCTTTTCAAGAAGATTGGCGATGTAATGAGAGAAAGTATGCCCGGATTGCCACTCGATGCTGGGGGGTACCGGGTGTACATGTCTTTGATATGGTGGGAACTGTGAAAATGGTGAATACTCTCAGAACTAAGACTGTCTGTATACTAAATATGTCTTTAGTAAGTGGTAAGGGGTTATAGGATTAGCTGTATAGATATCAATAATCCCTAGTTTATAGACAACCCTCACCATTATAGCATATCTACATCACTAAGTAATAGATTAACGTTTAGATGGACAGATTTCATTCCTCCACGACCAACGGACTGGTTTAACATTAACAATGAAACAGAAATTTAGACTTCTGAATATCCCATCAGATACATCGAAAAAATTAAATACTCTAGACTCGTAAAGATAAAGGTCCAATTTGCCGAAAATTACAAATGATTACATTCTTTTACATTCATTCTGTTTTCTTGATACCGTTCTACTCTATTATGATAAATTCATTATTCAAAAAGATACATTAGGATTTTCTTATAAGCTTTATTCCGATGATTTCCAGATACGTTCAGATAATGTCAGTTTTCGAGATATATTCAGATAATTTAAGTATCCGCAAGTTGGTATATTCTGTTAACGGGCTGATTTCAGATGAGTAAGAGATAAATTCAGATAAGTTCAATACTACAAATAAATTTAGATAATTTCAGTATTAAAAATACATTTAGATGATTTGAGTATCCAACGCTTTATCCGTTTTGGCATTCATGATTGGAATTCCAAGACAAGTTCAGATAATTTCAGTTTTTGAGATAAATTCGGGTAATTTTCAGTATTAAAGGTAGCCTACATTAAGGTGATTTAAGTATCCAACGCATACGTTTTGGCATTCAGGATATATAGATACTTTATTGGAATTCCAAGACAAGTTCAGATAATTTCAGTATTCGAAATAAATTCAGGTAATTTTCATTATTTCAGTATACAATGTACATCCTCAGAGTAAAAAGACTTTCATTTTGCTTTGAAGATAATCATTGGTACCAGTTAGCAGTTAGGAAGTTCGGACTACACTCAAATAGTTATACTTCAAATATTTCTCTAAAATTTCCCACTAAAATTGATCTTATACCCAATTGTAGAGCACAGAACAAAAGATTCTAACTCACCAAGATGGTTAATCCACAAGATGTACACACGTGTCACACGCTGTCAAAGGAACACTTGAATTAAAAAATTTGTGAAGAAAATGAACTCTAATAGACTCTCTCTATCAAATGCGAGTCAATAATGAAAATGATATTCAATAATTCACGCTCGGCTAGATTAATATCACTCTTTCTAAACCTTCATATGGATTAGTATAATCCTATAATCTTCTTAGGGCAATCCTTTGATACTTGATCCATTTTGCTTGAATAAACAGGTATAAGTTGATATATTTGCTATGGAATTTATTTTCCATAATTGAACTGTTCAATTGTGTGTTAAACTGAAAGTGTTATCTATATACAATAGATCAGCATGCTTCCTTTATTTTAAAGCGTAACAAACAATATTCGAACACTCAAAATAATTTAGCCTTGAAAGAACATGTTTTACTTCACTTGTACATGTATGTCTTTATATTAAAATTTATTTACTATGAACCGAAACCGTCCATGGTGGATACACTTATTGAACCCTTTAGGCTCTTGACAACCTTGGTACTACTCCTATGGTAGGCAAATGCATAACCTTTGGATCAATGACAGCTACAGAGGAGCCAAGCCGTCGACCCAAGAGTAACCAAAGATGACAGATTTATGAATCATGCAAAAAACACTATGAAACCAGAGACTGGGAGAATGCTGACGAGTAATAACTTATGGTCACAATAGAATGTTTTTCCGTTTCTGAATTTCGATCAGTTTTCATGACGGCCGATACAAACGATGGCCCTGCTTTCGTATCAAAATCGGACATGTTAAGCAAATTAGGACAAATCAACAGCATTAAAATCCAATTAATCCAATAAAACAATAAAGAAGAAGATAATCTCTGAGCTATAATTTCAGTTTTATGTTAAATATAGTCTCTCAATCAATATTGTGATAAAGGATCGTGTGGTTTAGTAAGGAAGGGTATTAAATATATAATGATACAATAATACACAAGTTCATAGAGTTGAATCACTAATTAACTTTCTTATATTTATTAGCTCTGGGATTGTCCAAACTTACAATCCAAATCCCAATTTGTTTAAAATGCAATTCTAGAGTCTTGGTTTCCTGTTTTAACATGTGGGTAACTCAACTTGCCAGGAAAGATTTCAAGAAATCAAATTAAAAGATCTGTTTAATAAAATAGTGTATTGGTCATTATTCAAAATACAATTTTAACAAATATTTTTGTTATACAAATCATATAACAGGTTAGAAATCAGAAAAATGAATACTAAAATCTTTTTTTTTTGGTACTTTTTCTCCACTTTCTTAAAAGTTTCTATTTTCATAATTGTTTGTAAAGGAACTAAATACGGCTTGAAATATTTCATGTTATTTCCTGTGTTACACAATTTCTTGACAGAGTAAAATCACTCTGAGCAAATACCTTATATTTTGATTTTAATCAAACTGAAATCTTACATAGACACATCGAGACAATTGTTCAGATGTACAATAATCATAGCAGATAAAGAGTAATATACAAATGAAATGAGATGACGAAATTCATCGTTTATTTCGTTTTCCACCCGGTCCTGAAGGAGGTTTATCCAGTGTAAAAGGTTGATTGGTACTGGATGATAGAGTAAAAGGACTAGCTCCAACACCAGGTGTAGCTGTTCCTATTTGTGGTGTTCCTAAACCAAAGCTACCTCCAAGAGCTGGTTGAGAGATACTGGTATTGCCAAATATACTACTTGATCCTGTATCTGAAAGCAGAAAACTTTTATTAACAACAGCTGTCCAAAACAAAAGTCAGTCAAAGGTATTTAGGTACATTAAGGGGCATTTATAAAAATATCACACAGAAGTGTAGAAGTAGAAGTTTACTGTTTTCTAAGGTAGAATATGAGGTAAATCTAGCATATCATATAATAGTGCCACCATTGATGCTATTCCTCACACAAAAATTTTTCATAGAGCATATTCTGGGTATTCAAAATCCATCATAGTAAAAATTTTCATTAAGACATAATTCCAGAATTTATATAATAACTTATAAGTAAATGCCAAATAAGTAAATGATCAAGAATAAAACTTTAAAATACACTTATAAAGTACTTAAAAAAAACAATAAAAAGGTTAGTAAATCATGCTATTAAAAGACAAAATCTACTGACTAAAAAGCATAAATAGAGGAAACAATTTAAAAAAATGACCAAAACTTTCCTTTTAAGATTAAAATATCACAAAAACATCCATATTAGGATGAATTCAAGACTTAACATTGTTGAATTTGAGTCACATTATCATAATGAAAAATACACTATGATGAGTTTGTTTTTAAACAATAGTAGTCCCTATAATTTAACGTCAATAGAATAATTCATTTAGAAAGAGAATAAAATAAAGAAAGCTTACCCCTAACTAACGTAGAGGTGAAGTAAAAGACGTAGAGTTGAGAGAAAGGGCTGGTTTTAAAGTTGATGTACCTAAGGAAAGTGTTGGTTTTAAATTTCCAGTACTACTAGAGAATAACTGGCCTACAAGCAAATAAAGCCACTATTATTCTTATAGGCTGTTACATACCATTGCTATCAAGTTATATCAAACAGTTTTGAGATAATCTAAATATTGTTAAACTAACACCAAAGCAATGTAATTGACCAAATATATGTCCTGCGTAGAAAAGCATTTTTTTTAATAACCATAGTTATAATAATCCAAAAAGCCAAGTAATATACTTGTTGAAATATGCTTAGTAATCAACTTTCTCAAATAAAAAGAATATGCATCACACTCTTTTATTTATAACATTAAATTTTTTGAAGAAATTTGTCATTCACTCATTTTTTCAATTTTTAAATTGATTTTCTACTGAATGTAATTTCAGAATATACTTAAAAAAAGAAAAAACTAAATCACAATTGAAGGATATTTGATAAAAGGTTAATAAGAAGTGCTTGGGTTAAAATACAACATCTACAATTACTACTTTCAATTTAATAAAACAGAAAAAAATTGTTACAGATAATTTCATCATTAATTGCAGTACCATTTTTTCAAATTCAAACCATTTCTAACAATGCTACACTTAGCTAATCAGAGAGTTAATTTGGTCTAATTTTTTATCACTATCATTTAGCTTCATAACATTCTCTTTCATCTAATGTTAAATCACATAAAAAATTCTTCAATGAAAAAAGTTTAAAGAATTTCTGTAAACTTTTTGATAAAAAAATATGCTTTGAAATATGGCTCAAATAATGAATGACCAAATTAAATGTAACTAAATATTAAAACACTAAAATTCCAATATTACTTGATCCCAGGGTTGATCCACCAAACAAGCCTCCACCACCCAATGTAGATGTTCCTAGACCAGAGGTGCCTAAAGTTGATGTTCCTAAACCAAATCCTGATGGCTGGCCAAACGTAGAACCACTAGCCAGACCACTTCCTGTTAAACCAACTACTGGTGGAGCACCTAAGTTTATAGAAATATTTCATTAAACCAATAACATAATATTGACCTACTAATGAAGTCTAAACTGAATGGAGTTCAAAGGGTTAAAATTTCAAAGGGCTCTAATGATAGACAAAGATGGCCTAGATTTTATTGCGATAGAATATGATTTGATTGGGAGCAAGCTTTTGCCTGTGTTAATCCTCTCCTGTTGTTTATGAATAGAAAAATGACTTATTTACCATAAATCATGTTTCAATAAAGATTTCAGCTGTCAGAATAAATATTCTAACCATTTTGTTAAAATAGAGGATAGAGGATTAAAGATTAAAAAAAGAGATATATTTACCAGCAGGTTGTTGTGATCTTGTTAAAACAGATGCCATTGCTACTGCTGCAGCATTAGTAACACCAGTAAATGGATTAGGTCCTGTTTGTTCTATATTTCTATAATTAGTTTGTCGTACTGAAACTTTCTGTTGTTTCTCAAATATATTTCTGTTATCACCATGGATAATCTTACGGTAGTTTAAATAGTGTTCTTTTAATGTCTGAAATGAGGAATAGAGGAATCATACTGAGGTATAGTGATAACATATTGTCCTTTTTAAAAATAAAGATCCCTTTTATCTAGGTGCTTGTTATACCAGAACAGAAATTAACTAGGCACAGTATTCTCTTCTTTAAAGATAAAGAAAAGAAATTTCATAATAAACAACACTCAACACTCGAAATATAATTCAAATATTTAATGTTTACTAATCAACATCATAAAATTTTACCTTCACTGCTTCATGAACCTGCTGCAGATTAGCAGCTAAGGCAATAAAAGTTTCATGTAATTTCCTCAGTAAGGCGATTAGTTCTAAAATAAACAAGAGAGGAAATACCATTAACAATATCAAATGAACAACACAGTATTTTGTATCCAATTCATTGACTCAAAATGTTTAATAACTACCCAAATGCCATCCTTTGAATTCTGTTTTATAAATCTTCTCTAGGCACAGATCTCATCTGTTTGCTACAACTGTCGGGATAAATCTGCCCTGTAGACAACATGAGACACATATCTGGTCTATTCACAGCTTTAAGCATAGTTTAATTAAAACTAACCTACTCTGGCAGATTTTTTGTAAATTGTAAATTTGTGACATACAAAATGTCTGGTTGTGAAAATCTAAAACTATTGTCATGATTGTTTGTTATTTTTGTAATACTCTATTTGACTGATAATGTGTGTGTGTCATCTCTGAATGGTGTGCCCTATTGTTTTACTTTAAAAACTGAAATTAACAGGCTTACCTGCTGGAGAATGTCTATTAGGTTGATATAATGAGGCTAAGTGATTCTCTAATACTTCTATTTGTTGTCTATAGGTTACCATTCTATTCTCAAAATCTTCAACTAATGCTTGGAAATATCTGGAAATAAATTTATGAACGATTTGAAAATAAAATATATGTTATAGTTATGAAGGTTCAAGTTCAATAGACACAATTCTATAGAAGAGAGGTTATATCGAGTTCAATACCTCAAGTGATTACTGTCTTAGGATTTTCATAAAACACCCAATCTTCATCCAAGAAGGGGAACTTATGTCGACTTTTCCAATTAAATCACTGACAATCAATCACTGACAATTTCAAACTGAAAAGGGAAGTCCTCAAACATCTATATGTCATTAACATAAGCTTTAAAGTGTCTTTACTGTTACTGTCAAAGAGAAACAACTGCCTGTGTCAGTACACGTATGCAGTATTGTGTATCTGTCATACACAATCTAGTTAAATGTTATCTGACAGAACTAAACAGGAATATCTTACAAAGTTGGAGCTGTATTTTCATACTGTAAACCAGGTGGAGTATCTTTAGTTCTTGTTGCCATTTCAGAATTCTTCAATTCCTAAAAATATACAACCTCATCATAAACTGGCAACCAAAAAATTGAAAGTAGTGACTTTTCTAAACATGTTACACAACCTGTTTCAACCTCCATTCTACCAGCATTTAATTAGCAACCAAACAGATTTCAGAAGCTAATTTTTGTGAGGTTGCTATTCACCATTTGGCTCGAATCAATCAGAAATTGTGTTTAGAGTCATGAGATTTTTACTATATGAACCTAAATGGGTGATGACAAGGGGATGAGCAGGCATAGTTTGGAGAAAAAACAGATGTGGTTGCTGATTTGGGTAAAGAATTTTACACTCATGTTAGTTCTTACCATTGTCATTTCCCGTTTGAGTTTTTCTACAGCACAGGTATTTCTCTGTAAGGTATTAGAGACTACTGATAATAGTTGTTTTAAAGCTGAAATATCTTCTTGTACTTTTATTATAGGTTTACTGGACATTCTAGCTATTCCTTCTCTAACCTCTTTCTCATCTTTAATATACTTTCTACAAATACATGAATAATATTACAATAACAAAAAACAAAAAAAAAGTTCTATATGATTATAACAAAACAGGGTTATATATAAATCCTACTGTTTTATGCCTTATTGGACAAAAACATCAAAAGATTTAAATCAAAATTAGATTTTTTTTTTTGATTGGAAAAATATATCTACAAAAACCTCAGTTTAAAATTAAATACTTACTGAAAGTTATCTACTGACTGTACTAATAAATCTGGTATTATAGTTTCTTTTAATGCTTTCACATCACTGAAATAAAAATTATACAATCTTTCATTGCTGTGCATTAAGACAAATATGTTCTATAAGCCAAAAATAAGCATTCCATTAGCTCTTGAGCATGTATTTTTCTAATATATGGAAACAAACCATTCAATTTCTCACTAAGGCATAATATTACCAAAATTGTTTTCTAGGTCAAGTTAACTTGCTTAGTCATGTCTCTGACAATAAATATGTCATTGTTAACAAAATGAGATAATACAATCTGCTCACCTTGATTTTCCATTTGTACCAGTTCCACCTACAAAAGAAATATGAAAGAATGTTTTCATCTGTCAGGACTTAAAGACAAAAATTCCAAATTCACTTTAAGCTCCATGGATTCTACAGAGGGCATAATGAGTTGTCACTTAGCCACTGAGTAGCAACACTTGTGTCAGAGGGTTGGGAATAATTCACTTTTTCTCAAAAAAACTGTTTTACCAACAGTACAAAGACATAAATTAAGGCTATTCATGGAGTTGTCTGAAGCATCAATAACAAAAATAATGTACTGACTTTGACTGCTTGAAGTATTGATTAATACAGGACATATCCTAGACGAACTGTTGAATTGAATTACCTGAAGAAGCAGTAGAAGTTTTAGGATCAACACCACCTAGTCCTACACTAGCTGTAGTAGTAGTTGTAGTATTGAAGATACTAGAAGTTGCAGTACCAGTACTACCTAATAGACCTCCTCCTAATCCTCCAACTAATCCTGTAGTACCTGTTGTACCACCTGTAAATATACAAGGCGTATGGTATATAACATATACTACAATAAATTAGGATAAACTTTATAAACTCAAAGGGATTATAAAGAGCTTTTGTAAACTTTTATATGTATTGTGTATCAGGACCGTGATTTTCCATCGTTCGAATTTTCTTTCAGATGAATGAGGCTCTAGCAATTCCACTAAAACAAGGGTTTTGTGACATTTTGTGTCATATTGCACCAAATCTGCGTTCGAAGAGGCAAAGATTCTTAGAAAATACAGCTTGTAGAAATTGTCAGAATAAACAGCTACTGTTGTAAACAACATACCTAATTTAAATCCTGAAAGACCAGTAGATGCTGCGGAGGTTGTTGAACCAAATGTTAACCCAGTACCAGTAGAGGTTGTGGCTCCTAGTGATAACCCTGATGTATTTAATGTTAAGCCAGTACTCAAAGTCGGTTTAGTGGCAGGTGTTCCAAGACTAAATCCTGAAATTTCACAAACATTGAGCTATTACATGAAACATAAATAAAAACAGGCCTTGTTTTTCAAAACTTACTTACCTTAAGCATTTTAGAAATACAATTATCTGATTGGTTAATTTAACTATAAATAAAATCAATTCTAGTCGCTGTGACTAGAACACTCGTCACCATGCATTAAGGGGGTCTCTTTTGAAAGATAGACAGACAGGCATAATATTTTCACCATTTTAAATTTTTTAAGCAAAGTTCACCAATTTACATCACACTTCAAGATAACAGTAATTTATAAAGCCACAGCTCGTACACACACTCTCAACTTCATCCACCATCTGTAACCTAAAAAAATCGACTTTGTATTGGTATATTGAAACTGACCTGTTGAAGCACCAAGAGTTGGAGCTGCAGTGGTGGTTGTAGCACCACCAAGAGAGAACCCTGTTGAGGCTGTATTAGGTGTAGCTATTCCAATAGTTAATCCTCCAGTAGTTTTAGCTGCTCCAAATGGAGCTACTGCAGCTGTAGTTGCACCAAATGAAAACCCACCTGCAAAAATAATGTGAAAATTGTGAAATCTAAAAAAGTCATGGCTCTCTCAGGTCATATTCATATAAACAAAATTTAATTCATAAATACGAAATAGTCATTTTAGTTAAAAGGACATTCTGCATTTTTCGTAAAACATTTTCTCTGTCAAAAATATCCTAAATTATACCTGAGAATATTTCTTAAGTATGCGATCTACTTGATCAACTGAATTTGTTTTAAAAAGGTTATTAGGCGTTTATTTTACACCAATTTGTACGGTACATTAACAGGTTACGTAACCTTTTACATTAAGTTTTGACGTGATTTTTTTAGTTTCAACTTTAAGATACGTTACGGGATAGACTTCTATAGATTTGGTTTATAGTTTTCACAAATTTGAGCAAAACATTATTCGACCTACAAAAAAAGCAGAATGTCCCTTTAAATAAGCCCAATCAAACATTACAGCAATATCAACCACCTTGGGGGATGACAGACTTCACGGTCTCATATTATGTTACAGTCTCTTCAAATTATTTGTACAATTCATCCATTACCTGTAGCCGGGGTAGTTGACGCTGTAGCTGGTGCAGCAGTTGAACCCCCAAATGAAAAACTGAAATTAAACATAAAGTGTAAGATATACTGTGGAGAATGAGAGAATTGGTTGAGAGATTAATATTGACATTTTACAACAGTAATATTAGCAAGGATATAATTTTACAGAGTTTCAATGAAGTAAGCTTATCTTACAGTATCAACTGTCTGAATACAATGTTTTAATTACATTTTGCCAATCACTTTTGTTTCAATTGAAGTATCTAACTAAATAGACCGAAACATCTATATCTCTATACCAGCCTCTGATAGTTGTTTGGACAGATGTAGGCTGGTGTACAGACAAAATAAATAGTCCATGTTAAATGGGGGCATTCTGCAGAGCAGTTTTTTTTTTTAACCTATTTAGATACTGTAAAAGAGCTGAAAAAGCCAGATTTATTTGAAAAGATGAATATTTTTGTATTTATGTCACAAATTTGGTTCCATCAAAGTTTTTTGAACGAAACTGATCTTGCATCAGTCATTGAATACAGCGAAAACGAAAGTTAAAGTAGGCATATGTTTCGGACATTCTAACATCTGACAAACTATATTTTTTAAAGCAGATGTAACTATCAGATTTTCTTCCAGCTGCATACGAGGTTATTGTCAGACAATGGCTGTCGTAGATACAAGCCTCTGTGTTTGGAGAGTAGTGATTGATGGTTGGTTAAGAAGCAAATTACAGACACCACTAAGGTTCTTTAAACGAAAACCCATTGTTTCTTTCTTTAGCATCCTCTGTCCCTTTAAACCCTTCAAGCGAGAATTCATTTCCGACTAATCAAATCGTTTATAACTTATAATGATAACTTCCTAGTATCATATTTACCCCCCAGTTGCCGCAGTTGTGGCAGGAGTTCCAAAGGAAAATCCAGTCGCCATGTCGAGATTTTTGATTTTACTACGAATGTCAAGGCCGTACAATTAAAATTGTAAAATGATATTTCCAAAACGCAAAATATAATGAACACTCGACTGATATAGTTGGCTATGAGAAAATAGTGACATATGTCTTAAAGTATTTGAAAAAATGTATGAATTAAGAACTAACTGAAATCAACACTTTGAATTTATATTCTAATTTGTCTGTTTCGGAATATGACAACATTTCATAAAATATGACCTTATTTCTTGACCTAGTTTTGTCCAGTCTCTTTCATCCTATACGGTACTAACTCACTAACGATGTACGTACAGACTGGAAAAACAAGACAATCAACATGTCGGGAAAAGAAACGTGCAATCAGAATAAAAAGTTTATTTGCAGTTTTAGTGATTGTGGTAAGACGTTTGGTCGACATTCTAGATTTTTGATACATCTGAGGACTCATACTGGAGAGGTTTGTAATCTTAACTTAAAGATCTTTGATAATTTTCTAATCCCGCAATGTTGTTATTTTGTTTGATTGATGACTGTTACTGTTTAGTTTTCGGTGGTTGTAATTGGTCGCTTTTCCGTTATTTTATATTATTGATTTGACTTAAAAACAATCTAAGCAAAAGTTACAATTTATTTATAGTTTTCCTTATTTTCTAGAAACCGTTTGTATGTCTTCATCAAGATTGTGGCAAGGCATATGCTAGAGCTCAGCACCTCAAGCGTCATGTTGACGTAACTCACTCAAGTACCAGGACTCCTTTAGAGAGTCAAAAATACGAGTAAGTATTATGAGAAAGTAAGAAGCAGCATCTTAGGAAGATTACGATCCTTTCTTCAGCTAGTCATTGGATAACCCTCTTGTCAATGATCTTTCATTCCCAGATTACCTATACCGGTACGCATTTACAACTTGGTCAACTGGAAAGTATTTCTTAGACGGATAACTTGAATAGAATGTTTCCTGAAAATTATGGATTTTTGTCAACCATGCTTACACCTTTAAACTGAATATTTATTGGGTTTTTTTTATTTTTAGTTGTGCGTTATCTGACTGTGAAAAAAGTTTTGTAAGTGAAGACAATTTAAAAAGACACATCAAAACTGTTCATGGTAAACAATATAAGGTAATTGTAATGAGTTTGGACTTTGTTTTTGTGCAATGATTTGATTAATGAAATTTCCAATTGATTTCAAATCTCAAATTTTCTTAGTTGAGTATTACTTAAATTTGTTTGTAAATATCTGGTCATATCAAAGTAAACTCTAGCTTAATGAGTTACTATCCAAGTGATGGTATTGAATCAATGGAGGGGGGTGACCATTCGTAAAAAAACATAATACATTAAGCTTTATGACTTATAAGATGAACTTTACATATTACAGTATAGATGTACAGTAGAAGGCTGTAAGAAGAAATTTACAGATGAGAATCAGTTAAAACGACATGAATTACAACATGATAATTCTAATCCTTATCTGTATGTGCCTGCCTTCACCATCATTTCCATGGATAGAAATTGTTATTATGTTTAAATCTTTTGATATTGCTGTTGTGGTGAAAGTCTTGACAAATATTATCTTCTCTAAACAAACTTGAATATGTCGCTGTTCTTTGCCTTTTGGAGGCCACTCTTACTTGCTAGTAGGAGGGTCTAACCCTAGTTCTCCCTGTTGGTGATGTAAGTTAGAGGCACTCTCATGGAAAACCATTTATTTTAATTGGACAATAAATTGAAAGTGCAACATCCCAATCTGGAGCAGAAAAGTAAAGTTAAAATCAAATTTCATTTCTGTTCTGTTTTCTAGTTGCTTTAGTTATATTATTTAATGATAGCTGTTTTTGTGTTACTTGAAGGTGTCTGTTTCCTGGTTGTGATTATTCCTGTAAAATAGCTCATCAGTTAAAACGACATTCTAAAATACATGAAGGTTGGTATAAACATAGTCTTTATTATAAGTAATATATGCCTGTTGGAATTTGCACAAATTTTACCAGAATTGCCCTGTAAAGTAGATTGGTAGTTGACTGAATTTTGAAGATTTGAAGGCTCTATGAGGTAAAATAGGAATTTACCCTACAGTTTATTTAGAAATATAGTTCTTATAATCCTGACATTGCCGCTCTTTTTAGCATTAAATACACAATTATTTCCCTTTACTTTGACCACAAAGACCAGGATGGCCTTCTATCAGCCGCTGTCTGTTCTATTCTAGGTGTCTGATCCTGAAATGTCACATTCTTAATTTATTCCTCTATTCTTTTCTCCAGCATTTTGAATTCTGTATACACAAATTTGTAAATAAAGCCTATTGTCTATTACCTTCAGGTTATAAATGTAGAGAAGAAGATTGTGATGTAAGATTAGAAACATGGTCTATGTTACGTAAACACATAATGATACACCATCCTAAAGGTAATTTAACAACTTCAACCATAATATATTTTGATTAAAAACAATTTTTTTAATGGTTATTTGAAATTTTGGGTAATAATTTCAATTTATCCCAAATTTTCTGCTTTACATTTTAGAAGTGTAATGTTGATTTGTGCCCTTTTGTTGATTTTTTATCAGAGGGATGAAATGGGAAGGAAACGACTGGAATTTAGATAACCATTCTTTTGTTTTAATATGATGTCAATGTTTACTCTGAACTTGTTTTAACAATCTTGGTTGCTAGAAAAAGTCCATCTGAGTGAAGTCTGCTTTGATTATAAATCTGCTATCAATTATTTCAGTTTTTGAATGCGGAGATTGTCATCTGAAATTCAAAAAGAAAATTCAGCTAAAAAGACACAGTCTTGTTCATAATTCAAATCAGAAGTTGTTTAAATGTGAACATGATGAATGTGAAAGAGTTTATTTAGATCTTCGTAATTTAAGAGCTCATATTAAATCTTATCATGATGGGCATCGTTTACATTGTACTCATGAGGGGTGCAGTCAAACTTTTGTAAACAAGGTATGAAATAATTTTATTTGCCTTTAGATATTTTGTTCAATATTTGTTTACAATACTAACATTGTTAACGCCAACCTAGTTTATATCTAGCAGATATTTGTGACCTTGGCCAGTGCTTTACAAAAGATTTAGGATCTTCACTCTTAATACACTACTTTTAGATTTTTCAAAAATGTTTAACCAATTTTGTCAAACCCAGAACCATTGAAAGCATTTTATGTACCAGTGACTATTTTTCAGGCTAAATTGATCCAACACAGTAAACTACATGATCCAAATAAACCTCCACCTAAGGTTAGTTCATATATATATAAGAGTATGAAAGTAAATGGAGTTTAATGTCCTATTTTTGTGCTCCTGGGAGGCAAATAGAGATAAACAATGGCATGCTGTGTGCAATGAGGGTTATTTAAAAAATAAACATTGGTCTTATTAGCATTATTGGTGTGTAAATGCAGTTGATCATTTGACAAACTGAATAAATAACGAAGTCATTTTTAGATGCATATGCAGTCGCCCTTGTCCATCCGTCCGTGCGCATTTCTTGTAGGCGCGATATAGGCTACAGTTTTAATCCGATCTTGATGAAACTTAGTATGCATGTATATATTGATGAGATCTCAGTCAAGTTCGAATTTTTTTAATTATTAGATAATTGGTTTGAGAGTTATTGCCCTTGACTTAGTAAAACCGTGTCAAATTTGGCTTAAAGGCAAGATAGAGACTACAGTTTTTATTTGAAGTTGGTATGCATGTATATATTGATGAGATCCCATTCAAGTTCAAATTTTGTAATAATCAGATAAACAGTTTCGGAGTTATTGTCTGTGACTTAGAAAACACATGTCAAATTTGCCTTGTAGGCAAGATAGAGACTACAGTTTTTATCCAATCTTAATGAAACTTAGTATGCATGTCTGTATTGATGAGATCTCGGTCTAGTATGAAATTGATAATAATAGGATGAACTGTTACAGAATTATTGCCCCTTGACTTAGTAAAAAACACGTCAAATTTGCCATGTATATACCATAGAGACCACAGTTTTTATCTAATCTTGATGAAACTTGGTATGCATATTTTTTTTTGATATTGTATGTATTGATGAGATCTCGATCAAGTTCAAAATTGGTAATAATCGGATGAAAGGTGTCGGAGTTGTAGCCCTTTACTTAGTATAAACTCATCAAATTTAGCTTGAATTTGATGATAATTTGATGAACTGATTCAGGTTTTTGCCTGGTTCCTTGAAGGGAATGATAGTAGAAATGTAAATATTTTTATTGATGACTGCAGTAGCTCACACCATACTAACTGTCATGCAGTCCTTTACATGCAGTGACCCTTGTCACTTTTGGTCTTGTTGTACAAACCCTCTGATGTTCACCAACCTGTAATCTATCGCAACTTTCTAGCATTGAATATAATGTTTGCAATTTTAATAGTAGGTTGGATGTATTTATTTTTAGAAAATGCCAAAGAAAGGCCACAGAAAGAAAACTGCAGCTGAACATCTAACTAGTCTCATAGAGGGTTCATCTTCACTTGTTCCTGTCAGTGAAGGAGATTGTAGTGATATTGATAAAGTACTGCTAAATGATTCTGGAGTAGTTGCGGACTGTAGTGAAAAATTGACTGCAATAAATAAAGTTACCTCCCTTGATTGGGTGCCTAAAGCAGAAACAGCTCTTTCTTTAGAGAGTTTTACTCAGGATGTTAACATGATTACATCATTAAGACATGAAAGCAATCCCAGCAGTGTGCAATCCTCACAGAATCTGAATGGCAGTTCCCACTCTTTAGGTTCAGACAATTCCCCAAATCTGATATCAGAATCTCAATTTTATGGAGATGAAGATCCAGAGGCAAAGCTTCACCTGCCAGATAATACAAAACTTGATGCTGTTGATGTATGGTTAGAAGCGATGGCTGAAAATATAGTAACAGATACTACAGCAGTTTCAAATTGAATTGATAAAAAATTGCCAAGTTACAGTGCTAAAAAATTAAGTTAGACCAAAATTACTTATTCTTAGTGAGAAAAAAAAACAAGGAAAAAGAAAACAAGTAAGATTGCACCTTGATCTCAAATTAAATGAAGATCAATTTAATTCTTGATTACTACTAACAATAGTTAGTTATTTTATTTTTTAGTTAGTTTTAATCATTATTTGATTGCTTTACACAAATCAATCTTTATTTTGAACAAATGTCACTACATTTTGTTAAGAAGTGAAAGAAAAAGATCTTGCTGTACATTTTTGCAGTAAAAATCATTATATAACATTGATTGCTTAATTTTTTTGCACTTAAATATTATATTTGCCATATTAAATTCAAAGTAATTAAATTGCACATGTTTTCCATTTATAAAGATATATCTTACTGTTTGTTAATTCAACTTTGCAATCAAACTCATTATATGGAATTGATTGCTGATCATAAAATCATTATATATTTTGTTATATTGTGCATGATTTATTGTTACGTTTTAGAAGGACATATTAATCTAGTCTTCCATTTAAAATAAAGTTTGTTATACAATACCACTTTAATGTTTAAACCACGTCCCTAAATAGATGGGACCAAGACTCAACAAAACATCTTTTTCATGTGAGAGGAGTTGCCTGTACTCGTATGATTAACAAAAGTTTTGATAGCGTTGATTATAAAATTGACTCTGTAGAAGGATGGTGATTAGCTGGTTTTAGAATCATGTATAAAGATGTATCTGCTACAGTGAAACATGGAGGGTTGAGATGATAACAATACCATTATATTATATTTTTCACATGTAAATAAAAGCAAGACCATTATCTTCTAGCACTATCATCACTTTATCTTTCAGACATCCACTTGTCTCCTCCAAGTAATTGATATTCATATGAAAAGAGAATAAAAAGTTGTCTATGTATTGAAATTGAAAAATATTTCTTTTTCTGTGAAATTATTTCTTGGAAGATCAATTATCTTGGATTATGAATGTCAGTGTTCAGACTAATTTGAAATTTTAAAAAATATTTTCATATTGAAAAATGAATACAGAAGCCTAACAGAATTCTTTTTCTTTTTTTTCTTTTTTCAAAAATAAAACTACCCTTCTATATTCTCTTACTGATTTTATATTTTTGCTGATCGATGCAACAATTTCATTTAACTTGAATCATGTGGGAGCCCAAAGATATGTAATCGATAATCATTGCCTTTAGTTTACTACAAATTTTCCATTTTTCAACAGATATTGTATCTTTCATTTGATTTATTGTATTGATTTTTGTTTCTTTCTATCTCTATTTTAAGAAACGTAAGAAGTTTGGTGTAGATTACATGAAGAAAAACTGAAGTGACAAATTGAAGTTATAAATTAGTGACAACCACATGACTGTATTTAACAGATTTTACACTTGCTTCTTCTGTTGTTGATTATGTGTTATTTTTGTGTTATTTTGAAGCTAGTCAAAGTTGTTTAGTAAGTAAGACGTTGTAAAGACTACATCAGAATATTCGTACAAAAATGGGTCTATAAGCCCTTTAAAAAAAAACCCAGTTTTTAAGCCTTTTACACGAAATGTGTAGTATTACAAAAATTACAGCTTAGACTCATGAGGATACTGTCTATGATGATCCTTGGCACTCCGCATTTATAAACCCTTACATTTTTACAAGATAACAGTTTACAACACCTATAACAAGAGTGTCAAAAAAAAAAGACCTTCCAAAGTTCGATGGGTAGTATCTCAGTTGTTGAGATTAACTTAACCTATTTCAATCTGTGTTCAATGTGCTCTCCATCGTCTTCAACCACCAATCACAACAGTTTATTAACCCTAATACAAGAGATATGTATACAAGTAACAGTTTATAAAAACAGATTTGTATAAGGTATTGAGAAATATTTTCTAGTGTCTGTGGATGGTTAAAGCCTGGAAGCAGTGTCACATATTATAATGAGAATGTTAGAAAGGTTAATCAGACTAGGGCAGCCATGTTTTTAATTAAAAATATTTTTAGTCTGTTTTCTCTATACAGTGCTCATTACACAGATAAAAGGTTTAATTATTAGTAGATTCAGTAATATTTTATATTAAAGGGATTGTAAAGAGGTTTCCTAAACTTTTGATGTGTATAGAGGACACTGATAGCATCGATTTGCACAATTCCAATTTTTAATCAAATGTCTGTGGAACTTGCAATTCCACTGAAAAGTAAGTGTTTAATATTGCAAAGGCTACTATTGATATAACGACCTTTGCGATAGTGATGTCATAAAATGAGTAGTTGCAAATGGAATTTTAAAAGCCACAGATGTCTGATTGTAATTGGAATGATGCAAATCGATGCTAACCTTTACTAAGTCTTAAAAATTTAAAATTATGACTTGAACATAAATTGTTGTCGTCATCATATGTCCATCCACCTATACTTACACCTGTCAGTACACAATTAGCTTAAGAACACAACAGAAACTACAGTTTTAATAAGATTTTTATGAAATTTGCTATGCATATGTAGCCTACATTGATGAAATCTCAGATGAGTTTGATATAAGATTTTTCAGTGATTATTTTTTAGCCATTGCCCTTCACTTAATCAAAAAAGGTCAAACTTTGCAAGTGAATTCTCAAGGAAAAGGTTAACAATAGCATATTGAACAAAGTCAGATTGGCAAAATGTTATATTTTATTAACGCATGGTATCAGATCAACAGTTATAATATATTGGAAAATGATCAGATTTACAAGATATTTTATTTTACATGACATGTTGTTGGTCCTCAACAGAAGATATTATATTACATTGATATATCAGTGTATTGTAAATGGCCTTGAAAGCAAAGAGAATATTACAACTATTGTCCAAGTTTAATTATCAGTATTGTTTAGGTATTGTATTGATATCTTAGATAACTCTCTAGCTCTATAATATCATGTGACATTTAGATTTCTTAATAACTTTCCTCTTCTCGCTTCTTCATCTTGAGACGACACAATTGGATGTTATTCTTCTCTATTTATTCCGTCTTTGCATATCGGTCTGTCATTTTCTACATTTGTGCTAGTGTTTTGTTGAGGCCTCTCTTGTTACCAAATGACAATTTAAGGATAATCAATTTGTTTTGATTCTTCTTGCTTAAAAAAGGAATGGTATGTACACATTTCTTTTCTATTGAATTTATATTTATGGATTTCAATTGTATTTTTCTGACTATAAAATTTGAAACCTTGTGAGACGTTTTTGTGTTTGAATGTGCATTGATTCATCAGTCTGTGTCAGATGTAAAAGCCTTCAGTGTTGACGGTTAACTTGATTTCTTGTGAAAAAGGCATATCAGTTGCTTG